TTTAGTGTGTGTGTGTGTGTGTGTGTGTGTGTGTGTGTGGCCAGCTCAGCCCACCTGGGGGCGGGGCTGGCCGGCATGTGGTGCTGGGGATTGAACCGTGGTTCCTGTGCTTTGCCAAGCTTGTTCCAAGAGGTGCTTTAGACCACTGAGCCATCTCTCCAGCCCCATATTTTTATTTTTTTGTGTGTGTGTGGAACCAGGGATTGAATAAGAACTGAGCTAAAGGGCAGGCCCCCTATGTTTTGGTTTTTGTATGCATCCACAATGATGTTTTTATGACCTGTTAACTGCCTTTAGGGATGACTAGGCATAGTTTTATACATCTTTTTTTTTTTTTTTTTTTAAGAACTGGGGATTGAACTCAGGCCTTTGTGCTTGCCAGGCAAGTGCTTATTCTACTGAGCCATCTCACCAGCCCCAGTTTTACACATCTTGTGGTTATACTTTTCCACTGGATGTTTAAGACCAAGTTGAAGTGAGACCTGTACTAATTAAAATTAACTCCTTGCTATCTATCAAGGCCAGTTAATCTCAGGATTTACCTTGAAATCAAGCATTAATTCCTCTCAGTACTTCTGTCAGTATCAGCCATTGGGATGAGTCACAGCCATTGCTTGAGCAAGTTGCTTTTTGTGAAATCTTGGGAGACTTTTTTCTCCCATTGACTCTCCATAGACACACTGTACACTATAGAATCACTTTACTCCGTGGTCACATAATTTCCTTGATCAGAAAATTAGGGGCTTCACTGAGTCCTTATAACTGAATTATAGGATGTCACAGCAAAGGTTCTCTTATGTCCTAGGTCCAAATTGGCCTCAGAGGGTAAGGGCCGAAATATTGGCTGTCCTCTTAGCCTGTCTGACTAATTTTTGATCTCCAAACCTCAAGTGTTGAACATGCAGAAGAGAAAGTTAATGACATATTGTAGTGGGAACAATGTACTTACTCATTCTCGATGTTATTTCTCGTGCATTGGGATTCTGTTCAGGAAGCCTTTCCTATGTCTTCAAGAGTTTTACTTGTTTTATCTTCTAGTAGATTGTTTCTGTTTTAATATTTCAATCTTTGGGGCCGGGGAGATGGCTCAGTGGAATATGCGCTTCCCTGGCAAGCGCAAGGGCCTGAGTTCAATCCCTGGTTCCACCAAAAAAAAAAAAAATTTCAATCTTTGATCCATTTTTATTGTAGTTTAGTACATGATGAGAGATGAGAGATAAGGGTCTAGATTTGATCTTCTGCCTGTGGATAGCTAGTTTCTCCAGTATCGTTTGTTAAAGAGGCTGTCTTTCCTCCAGCATGTTTCTGGCTTCTTTGTCAAAGATCAGATGGCTGATGTGTTGGTTTCTGCATCCTTCATCCTGTTCCATTGATCCGTGTTTCTTTTTTTCTTTTTCCACATTTCTGTTTTTGTGCAAGTAGCATGTGTTAGTTTAAAGGCCTGTTTAGAATATACCCCTGAAGGCAGAGCACAGGATGAAAGTTCACTGGTTTTCTTGTTCTGATGATAGAATGCTAGTAGAGGTGTTTACAGCTTGGTTATGTTTTGGAGGGTGGGTAACTGAACATTTGTGGCCATGTTTTCTCTCCCTCCCTCCCTCCCTCCCTATCTTTCTTTTTTTGATACCAGAAATCAAACTTTGGACCTTAAACCTGCCAGACAGGTGGGTGCTGTGCCACTGAGCTATATCCTCAGCTCCTGCATTTTCTTACCATTTATCTTAATGTAAGAAGGAGCTTTTTTACTGTTGACATACTTAGCAGCATTCAGAAATTCTCTACAGGCAACGTTGAGTTGTTGCTGTATAAGCTGTCTAACATTAGATCATGTGGAATTTTGAGCTACCACAGAGCCAACTAAAGACTTTGGGAAAAAAGAAAGGAGAGAGGCCCACACAGTTACTAATTCCATTCTCTCTTTAGTTTTCTTTGTTTGCGCAATGGAAGGCACACATGTGTAATTTACTGTACATTGTATAGTGGCAGAAGGTTTCTTGTTCTAGGTAGACAGAAAAGGATGCCCTATGATTTAAGAGGCTGTCAATATTCAGGTGTATGAATGCAGTGGGCACAGATTAAATGAGATAAAGGCCAGAGCTGGTACTCATCCTAAGGCAAGTGCGCTTGCGCTCTCTCTCTCTGTCTCTCTCTCTATATTTATATATAATATTTGTGTGTGTGTGCCATTTTGCTATTTCATAATTTTATTTACTTAAAAATAGCTTATATCCTTATTGGTAAATAACTTGGGTAGCTAAGAGTACAGAGGCTTATGTATTAATTTTTTTTTTTTTTTTTTACTGGGGATTGAACTCAGGACCCTGTGCTTGGCAGGCAGGCTCTCATTACACTAAAGTGTCTTCTTGGCCCGAGTTAAATTGTGAGACTAAAATTATTTCCCTTTCTCCTGGTTGTGTTGTGATAGTAATAGTGGTTCTGAGTGATAATGCAGGTAGGAACATATTGTCCCTCTATTGTACTTACATTGTGCCAGGCAAAGGGCAATTTACATGTAGCAACGTATTTAATCCTCACAACAATCCTATGAGGTAGCTGTTACTATCTCCATTTTACCAATGAGGGATGGACGTGCAGAGAGATAGTAACTGATTTAAGAACAAGTAACTAGTCAGTGGCAGAGCTAGGAATTGATCGGAGGCAGCCTGGCGCCAGGCTTCTTCCTCCTAATCATAACACTGTGCTGCACTTATTTGACACCCATGTAACTAAAGGGAAACATGAGATAAAAAATGCTTTCAACATCTTTGTGGTTTCTGTGGAACTTATTATTTGTTCATTCAATGCTCCATGTAGAATCAGTGATTACAGAGAGAACATTTAATATCAAAGCATTCATTCTTGTTTTCAAACTAGTATTTTCAGATCTGTTCTCCATCTGAGGCCTTGCATTTAGACAAAGTACACTTGAACTTTTTAGTTGAATTGTCAGATCTAGAGCTTACAGACAGGATATTGCCATTGAGTACTTACACTGTGTGTGCTGGTCCCCTGAAGCAGTAATTTGGATGCATCACAGTGTTTCCACTGGAGTACAGCAGTATTAGGAGTTCTGACTTCAAAGTCTGTATTTTATATGTATCTTTGTTGATAGGTCATTTCTACACAAAATGGAACCAATCTTATGTGAATTCTACAAAGATTTTAGAGCCCTTTAAGAAATGTGTAAGCATTTTGAAGTAGAATTATAAGGAATGCAAAGTGTTACCTTTCTGGAGACTTGTGATAAGTACGATAAGTAAAGTAGCCCTCATTTTTAAATGCTTAAAGTTCAAGTTCAGAGAACCTCCTTTTAATCTTACAGAACTAGTTCTCACTTGGGTAGAACTCTACCATTGAGCCACATCTCCAGCTAACTTGGGCACAGATTTACATACTTTTTAAAGTCTTGCCTTTTTGTTTATTTATTTATTTGTGATATTTATTTTTTAGGGAAGGGTCTACAGGGTGTTCAAGGTCTCACTACTAGAGCGTACTTGTAGTGATCTACCTGTTTACAGCCTCCCAAGAGCTGGGATTACAGGTGCGCACCACCACCCCCAGTCTCAGTTGCCATCTCAGCGCGCTCCGGGGACAGGGCTGGCATGGCAGGCCTGGGGATTGAACCTCCAGCCCCTGCACCTGCTTGCAGGTGCTTTAATCCACCGAGCTATCTGGCTGGTCCTTCACTGTTTAGTTTTTTTAAAAGCCAGTGCTCTGTTTTCTTCTTCCCATGACTTAAGTGTTGTGAGCTGACTGTGCTCTCAGAACACAGGGTAGACCTAGTGCTTTGGGTCAGACAAGTGATTTGGCTGGAGGAAGTTATAGAGGATGAGAAGAATAAATCATCATTTCTTACTCATCAAGTATGTATTTTATGGATGCAGGTGACTTTCTCACATTAATTTTCCCTCCAGGTGTATAAAGGACTAGACATCATCACCAACAAGGTTTCTGCCCAAGAGCGAAGAATCTGCCAGCACCATATGATCAGCTTTGTGGATCCTCTTGTGACCAATTACACAGTGGTGGACTTCAGGAACAAGGCAACGGCTTTGATATCCTTAAGGAAAGTCAGCAACAAGGCTTAATATGCAGCCTAATCTAAGCAAGGAGTTTTCTTTCTAATGGCACTTTCTTTTCAACAGGCACCAGCAACCTATCTCCCAATAGGTAGCATTACCATCAGATCTGTGTGGATTGAAAGAGGGCTTGTATTCCAAGTCTTGTCCTCAGACCGGAGCCTCAGCATCCCCTCAGACCTGGTAGGTCCCACTCCAGACCTACTGAATTGGAATCTGCAGTATAAGAGGAAGCTGACTTTCCTGGCAAACGCAAGGGCCTGAGTTCAATCCCTGGTT